AATGCTTGTTTTGGTTCAGGTATCCAAGAAGGAGATGCTAGGACAAGAACAGATTCATTGAGGGAAAATGGGGAAAGAGCTGAGGGGGCCTGGGAGAGCATTTGGACTGTGATGCTATCTGTGTAGGGGAAAAGGAAGGATTTTGGAAGAAAGAGTCTCAGACTACACCACAGTACTAGGAAATTTTGCAAGACCAATGAGGAGTCCTGGAGTCAGTTGCCCATCAGAGGAGTCCTGCCTCTTGCAAGAAAGGGCCTGCCTCCTATCTCTGCTGTGTCTAGTGTTAGGCGGGGAGCAGCCTGTGGGAAGGTAGTCCTCCAGCCAAAATCCCAGTGTATTCAGAGCATAGCATCTGGGGTTGTTTTTAATTAAGCTCCTCAAGACTATATGGTGCCTGAAAATGTTAGTCTGTGTTACTCTTCATCCAAAGCATCTGCCTGATTATAGAGAGATGCTAAACTTCTAGCTTGTAACAATTTTATTAATAGCAATAATAGCGGTGCTTACCATTTAGTAATAGAAAGCTCTTTTATGTACCAGGCACTGCACTAAATAATTTTTGTGCATATCATATCATTTAATCACTAAAACAACCCTATGAGATAGCTATGATCATTAGTCCATTTAAGCGATGGGGGTTGTTATGGACTGAATTGTGTTCCACCCAAATTCATATGTGGAAGTCATAACCCCAGTACCCCCATAGAGAATATGACTGTATTTGGAGATAAGTTCTTTATAGAGGTAATTAAAAAATCATTATTGCACTATATGCTAACTAACTTGGATGTAAATCAAAAAGTAAACAAAAAAAAGTTAATTAAAAAGAGAGAGACTCTTAACTACAGAGAACAAACTGATGGTTACCAGAGGGGAGTTGGGGAGGGGGAATGGGTGAAGGGGATTAAGCATACACTTAACTTGATGAGCCCTGAGTAATATATAGAATTGTTGAATCACCATATTGTACACTTGAAACTAATATGACACTGTATGTTAACTATACTGGAGTTAAAAAGAAAAGCTTAATGAAAGAATAAATAAAAGAATTCAGAGATAAAACAAAAGAATACAAAGATTAAACAAACAAACAAAGAGGTAATTAAGTTAAAATGTGGTCTTTAGGTTGGGTCCTAATCCAAATGACTGGTGTCGTTATATGAAGAGGAAATCTGGGCACAGATATGCAGAGGGAAGGTGATGTGGAGACAGCCATCTGCAGGCCAAGGAGAGAGGCCTTAGGAAAAACCAATCCTGCCAACACCTTGATCTTGGATTTCTGGCCTCCAGAACTGTGAAAAAATAAAGTTTTGTTGTTTGAGCCACTCACTGTGTGGTACTTTGTTATGGCAGCCCTGGCAAACTAATGCCAACATATTGTGGCTTAGAGTCCTCACGTAGCTTTGCCAAAGTCACAGAGCTAGCACCTGGGAGAAATAGTATTCAATTTCTTTCATTTCAGAGTCCACTCTCTTACTTTCCTCTACTGGGTTGTCCAAGGTGCCTGGGTCAATGGCTACGAAGTAGTGGAATGTAGATGACAAGGTGACTCAGAAAGATCACTGAGGCAGAACATAGCCTGGCAAGCTGGGAACATCCATGAGAGGGAACCAGGAGACCTGATCGTTATGAGAAAGCCTTTTCCACCCTGCCTCTACCCTCTTCTGGCTGTGTGGGCTTGGCCAATCCACTCTTGCTTTCTGGACTATAGTTACATTTGTGCCAAATGGAAGTATTAGGTTTCCTATGTCTCACTGAGCCGTTTTATCCATAATGAAATTATGATATGAAAATGTGGGGAGAGAGAACTGAATTTGCTTTATTCAAATATTAGTGTGGCTGTATATTATCCCTGTTTTAGCAAATACTAAGAGTACTATTGTAATGGTCTGTCAAAATTAAAGCATTTGTTTTCCATGCTATTCAAATTATATGTGTTCTGATTCCAGAAATTCATGGAGACCATTGAGGCTGCACATTATAAGTAGTCCTATGACTCTTAGACATCAATATAAATGGCAATACCTGTCATCAAGGATGAGCCTAGCAGAATGGACTCATTAAATGTTTGTGAGGATTAATGTAATATAAGTAGCTGGTATATATTGAGTTTTTACATGTGTTAAGTTCTGTTCTAAATGGTCTAAATATAATAATCCACTTAGGACAATCCTGAATGGAACCCCACGAAGAAGAAACTATTTTCATAATCCTTAGGTTACAGATGAAGAAACTGAAGCCCAGACATGTTAACTAGGCCAAAGTCACACAGCTAAGTAAGTGGAAGTGTAAATATTCAAGCTAAGTCACACTGGCTTCTGGATTGGATGTGGGGTGGAGAAGAAATGAAGCATTCAGGATGGCTTCAAGACTTTTGCCTGAGCAACCAGTGGAACAAAATTATCATTTCTTGGGATGGGAAAGATCTCAGGAATTAATGTTTTTAGAAAAACTCAGTTTGGATATGTTAAGTTTGAGATGATTATGCGTCCAAGAAGATGTCAAATAAGTCTATATGTGAAAATTGAGATTTTTCAATGTATGCATTGTATCTAAAGCCCACAGATGGAATAAGGTCACCTATAGAGTGTCCATAGAAAACAAAAGAGATCTGTTGGCTGAGTCCTGGGCATCCCAGTGTTTACAGGTCAAGGAAGTAGGGAGACAGCCTAAGAGACAAAGCAGAGAGAGTGGTCAGAGAATTAAGAGGAAGAGCACATGAGTGTGGTTTCCTGGGAGAAAATAAAGGGGAGAGAGTGATCAGTTGTGTTAAGTGCTGGTGATAGACTGATTACATGGGGACCAAAGATTGAGGACCATTGGAATGAGCCAAGGCATTGTTGACTTTAAGAAGAGCAATTTTCTTGAACAGGTTAGAGGGTACCTGGTTGGAGTGGTTCCAACACAGAATGGGAGGAGGGGAATTGAGGACAGTGATTTTCAATTTTTCTTAAAAAAGAAGATGAGGGGCGCCTGGGTGGCTCAGTCGGTTGGGTGTCCGACTTTGGCTCAGGTCATGATCTCGCGGTTCGTGGGTTTGAGCCCTGCATCAGGCTCTGTGCTGACAGCTAGCTCAGAGCCTGGAGCTTGTTTCAGATTCTGTATCTCCCTCTCTCTCTCTGACCCTCCCCTGCTCATGCTGTCTCTCTCTCAGAAATAAATAAAACATTAAAATTTTTTTAAATAATTAAAAATTAAAAATTAAAATTAAAAAATAAAAATAAAAGAAGATGAGAAATGGGGGGGTAGCTGGAGGAGAAATTGTTTTTATTTTAATTTTTAAGGTGGGAGAAATAAGAGTGCATTTGTAGACAACAGGAATGCTCTAGTAGAGAGGAGAAAATAATTGAAGTATTGGAGTGGGAACTTCTGGAACAATATCCTTGAGTAGATGAGAGGGTGTGAGATCTGGCTGGCCTTGGGTAGAAGCATGGAATTACTGAAGAAAAGGTAGAATGCATCAACATAAATGCAGTTAAGTACATAGTACACTGAGAGGTTGTTGAAGGTCTCTTGTGGTTACTTCAGCGTGCACACACATTCATTAAGATACCACTCTGAGCTCAGTTAAAATTGAAAGTTCCTTCCCTTGTTTTATCATTGCTCTTCACTTTGATTTCAATAAAACCTGCATCATCCAGTAAGTATAGCTCCTTGTTATGTGTCTTTTGTCCTCATCAGCTTAAGAGCTGAAGGAGAGCAGAAGTCACGTCACATTCTTTATTGTTCCCCAACAATTGGCACAGTGCCGGACACACCGTACTCACTGAATAAATATTGGTGAATTGAATTGAACTGAATCTAGTATATTTGTTTCTCTATACATATACTTTAGACCTGATTTTTCTGGAGAATTAAGAAGTTTCCAAGCTCATATTTTCTATGGATTTGTGGGTAAATTATTCCGTGTTTCAGTCTATTCTGTTAATTGTATTACCTGCTTATTACTGAATTTCATATTCATGGAAACTTACAAGGTTTGCTCATTTTTTACAAAAACTTGAACCTTAATTGGGCCATGGCAACATCCTCAAAAGGGTTACAATATATAAGAAGATGCAAATAGCTCCTTTTATAATTGACATAGTGTTCAATTTGCCAAAGTACTTTTTATTTTTTTAAGAAAAGCGTAAATTCACTATAATTGACATACCGTGATCTGAACCTGTAGAAGTCAATGAAAAATCCTAACATCTGGTTAAAAGGTGCCAGAGGATCACCACCTTAGAAGAACCACCTAGGAAGAAAGGATATACAACCAACTGGGTACATGTAGTGAGAGAAAATGTACCTCGCTACCTCGAGCTAAGAATCTGCAAATGGGTTGATTTTCCACTGTATATATTTTAAGCAAACTTTAGGTGACAGTAAATTCAAGGTCAAGTGTAATAGTTAGCTGTGTCATTCAATGTGGCTGAAGTCTGTCAGTACTTGTCCAGCAGGAAATTCAGTAAAGTATATTGTTGAGGACACATACTTGGACTTAACTTGTATCCCATCTCAAATGACTTAGTTTCCTGGTCTCTATAATGGCAAGATAACATTATCCAAGTCATTGAGTTATGAGATGTAAATGATCTAATGCCCATAAAAGTGCAATATCCAGAATATCAGTAATTTTAGCTATTATCGTTTGTTTTAATGATAATAACTTTTAAGATTTTTTTTAAAAATTTTAATGTTTACTTTTTAAGAGAGAGAGCACAAACAGGGGAGGGACAGTGAGAGAGGTAGACACAGAATCCGAAGCAGTTTCCAGGCTCTGAGCTGTCAGCACAGAATCTGACACAGGGCTCATACTCACAAACCATGAGATTATGACTTGAGTCCAAGTTGGACGCTTAACAGATGAGCCACCCACGTGCCCCGACAATAACAATTTTTTAAAATGCAGGCTGTATTCTACTTTGGGTCTCCCTTTTTCTTCTTTTGATACTAGTACACTTCCTTTTTTCTCTAATCCTGACTTTTCATCTCTGACCATTTTTCTTCCACTGTAGAAAAATTGATGGTACCAATGAGGAAGAAGATAACACTGAGCTGGATGAAGAAGGAAGGCCAGTGCAGACTTCCAGGCAGAAGCCCCCACTCTGCAACTGCCACTGCTGTGGCATCCCCAAGCGTTACATCATTGCCATTATGAGTGGGCTGGGATTCTGCATTTCCTTTGGGATTCGCTGTAATCTTGGAGTTGCCATCGTGGAAATGGTCAACAACAGCACTGTATATGTTGATGGAAAACCAGAAATTCAGGTCAGAATTTGGTGGGGGCTCTTTTGGCCACAGCTGTGCAAATGACTTATTTTAGGAAAGAAAGCATGCGCCTCTTCCACTGATGTGACAAAAATGTAGAATGGCTACCACATGCCAGGGACTGTGTAAGGTGAGGGAATAGAACGGTGAACATCACAGGATGGGCCCTTGCCCTCATAGAGATGTACAAATAAGTAATTACAATTCATAGTTTGGGGCACCTGTGTGGCTCAGTTGGTTAAGCTTCCAGGTCTTGGTTTCTGCTGAGGTCATGATCTCACGGTTTTTGAGTTCGAGCCCTGTATCAGGCTCTGTGCTGACAGTGTGCAGCCCACGTGGGATTCTCTCTCACCTTCTATCTGACCCTACCCTTCTGGCACTGTCTCTGTCTCTCTCAAAATAAGTAAACTTAAGAAAAGTAATTCATAGCTGTAGGTGCTATGCTAAAGACGTTCAGAACGCCAGGTGTCATAGAGGAGAACTTTAGACCAGACTTTGATATTGTGAAAGGATTCCCAGAGGAAATGATGGCTTTGAAAGATAAGGAGGGATTGACAAAGAGTGTTTGGTGGGGTGAAAAGAAGAGTGAAGAAAAAGGAACATCATGTGTGAAAGACTGTCTGAGAGAAGGGAGAGGGAGGGAGAGAAAAGGAAAGATAGAGAACGGGAATGATGTGTTTAGGAACTGAGATAGGAGTTCTTCATCTTTTCTGTGCAATGCCATGGACCCCTTCGGCAACCTGCTATAGACTTATAAACACCTTTTCAAAATAATTTATTTTAAATTCTTAAAATAAAATGCATGTGATTATAAAGGAAACCAAGTATGATAGGATACAGATGTCAAAGTATTTAAAAATAAAATTTATGATATATAGAGACATATGGACTTCTCTATGAACACATCAGATGACAAAATCTAGCAATGGGTCTAACAATTGCTGTAGCTTTAAAGTTTGAAGTATAAACCATAGTTTAAGATAGTGGTGATGATTGTGATGCAAACAGATTTATAATTTCCACAAGTGATAGTCACAGATAGTGATAACTACTATGGTATGTTGCCTACACTCATGATCACAGAAAATGCTAAATTTCAGCTAGCAGTTAGTGAAACTAAAAATGATGATTTTTCCCATCCAACTTCATAGATCAACAGGATTCCATCCTTGGACTCCAGGCTGAGAACCTCTGTTAAGAGAGTAGAGTATTAGAGTGAGCATCAAGACAGGGAGACACCCAAGGGGCCCCTGGGTGGCTCAGTCAGTTAACTGTCTGACTTCAGCTCAGGTCATGATCTCATGGCTTCATGGGTTCGAGCCCTGCATCAGACTCTGTGCTGAACGTTTGCTCAGAGCCTGGAGCCTGCTTTGGATTCTGTGTCTCCTTCTCTCTCTGCCCCTCTTCCCCTCACACTCTGTCTCACTCTGTCTCTCAAAAATAAATAAATGTAAAAAAAAAAAAAGACAGGGAGACACCTGGGTAAATAAGGGTGAGGCCAGGTAAAGCCTGTTAAACCATGTAGGGAGTCATAGGTGGGCTTTGGGCAGAAAGGTGGTATGATCAAAGCTGCTCTGGAATAATTATTGTCTAGCCAGTGGTTTCCCAGTGGACTGGGATAGAAGTGAGCAGAAGTAGGAGGCCCAGTTCAAACCAAGGCTGTTGTAGTCATAAGCAAGCATACTCTGATGTGACTTAAAAGCATTGTTTTTATGAATCACTGGAAATATACATTCTGGTTTGCTTCTTAAGTAGTAGGCCTAGAGAAGTATAGAGGCTATGGGGAAAGAAATGAAAATATATGTCCAGTAGATACCCAATAAGTACACATTGCATTGTATTGAACACACATGCTGGAATAACTCATGTGGAAATACATTCAGATTGTAGAGAGGTATCTAATAGTTCTCTGGTCCTTGTCCATATGTGAAGAAACATTTAGATCAGAGTTTCCCAAATTGGTGTTTGGCAAGTCACTGTTCTGCTGTGAAGAAGAAACGAAATGAAATGAAATACAGCCTTTATTGTGCTGTATCCTGTGAGAATCTCCAATGGGGCGGGGTATGGTGTGCATATTTCCTGGACTTTATTGTAGAACACTTTCTTTCATGCCTCATTATTACATTACCTGGAACAGTTCCTGCCAAGCACTGGTTTGGGAAAATTTGATTTTGATCCACTAAAAAGAAGTCTTTAGTTGGCTCTGCAAGTTGTGGGTTTTTGTTTTGTTTGGTTTTATCTTTTTTAGCTAAAAGATTATTCTGTCAGATGAAAAGAGCACAATGGAGAGTCTTCTAGCTTCTTTTTTATGCCACGGCTGAATTTGTTCTAAAAGGATATGCTAGTTGTTTATTTTTTGGTGGGGAGGGAGGGCAGTAGAAGTGTAATGGGGCAATCCATGCATTTTTTAAATAAAGGATGATGTATATTAGTGAGGTTTCAGATGTGTATCACATGCATTCTCCCAGTCTTTTGTGAGCAAGGTTAGCTAATTAAAACTTGGCTGCCAAGGCCCAGATCAAATGAGATGCTGGTTTGCATTTGTTTGTTGCCTGGAAAGATAGGCCTAGGTCAACAGAATCTGCTTTGAGGCATGTGGAAGAGACATTTTGATAAACCTAAGGAGCAATGCTAGTGTGTGCTCTCTGGTGTCAATCGTTCTCCCTTAGGAGTCTTAGAGAAACGGATTGAGATCTAAAATACGCTTTGCATCATTTTTTCTGGTCTCAAAAATAGGAGTTTGTAGCCTTTCGGAAACTTGACAGTAAATCTAGTTTATAGCAGGTCATTTCCCTTTCACTCAGATAGAACAAAGCTTACATACCAGGTGAACATGTTCAACCTGATGACAAAGATTTCACTGATTGTTTTAAGGTTCTGAATATCTGGTATTTTTGTTTATTTGGTTTTTCATTTTATGGTGGGGTAAGGCTAGATATTTTTAAATATTCGTTTTCAAAGGAGAGAGAGAAGTAAGCAGCATAGATATGTAGGTCTCTCAAATATGTGACATATATTCTACCAGTGGTATACAGCATAGTTTTAGCTGATGTGTGAATATTCATTTTTAGTTTAATAATTATGAATTTTAAAACATGTGAATCACTTTGAATAGCATCCAGCATATGGCAAGCAATAAATAAATGACTGATGTTTGAGAAACTCTGCAATCATCCCTTTTTAACCTCAGGAAAAGTCCAAACTCCTTCCCATGAATCATGAGTCCTGGAGAGTTAAGAGGATGGGCTTTGGAATTGGCCAGACCTTATTTCAAACTTAACTTCTGGGACTTTGGGCAAATTGCCCTTATGTCCTGGTCAGGAATTACTGGTTGCAAGGAGTAGAAATGCAGTGAAAACAGGTCAAATTAAAAAGGGAATTATGGTAAGGTTGTAGGGGATCTTATGAGAGTGAAGAGCAGAAAGCAGGTCTGATAAGTTTATTTGTGCAGTGTGTTCCCTGGACAGTGGGACCTAGCCTGTGGTGGGACTGAAATCCAGGCTCTATTCCATGAGGGGCAGAAAAGGAGTCTTTACCTATTTCCTTCCAAGGCATAAACAGAGGCCTTGCCAGGAAGACAGAGTGGAGCTGGCCCTACTGGGAACTAGGAAATCCTTAACTCAGGTCTCCAGCTTTGTTGCTCCACATGGTCCCTCGTCTGCTTCTCTCTGAGTATGCGCCACCGTCTCAGGCCTCTCCATGGACTGTTTTCTCTCCTTTTCCATGGCTTCTCACTGCTCTCCAAAGCTGAAGTGCCTTGCCGGGGAGCTGATGTACTTGATTGGCCTTGACTCCAATGAGGCTTGTTTTTGGTTCAAGTATTCAGTGTTTTCAAAGTAAGATTTCTGTGTTCAGATTGGAGAGAGAGACAGAGAGAGACAGACAGAGAGAGCCTGATTAGCCACTCAGGGGGGAGAGGCCCATGGTGCTGAGATGGGGGGTAGGGGTAGAGAGTGCTCTCCAAAGGAAATGTGAGCAAGGAGGCAGGAACGGTATTTCTAGCAACTCTTTGCTGACCTTCATTGCCCTTATTGTAAAATGGGAATAAAAGACCTGCTTTGCAGATCAAATGAGTTACTTTGGTGCTGATATATTAAGTAGTTATATTAGTTTCCTAAGGCTGCTGTAACAAATTACCTCAAACATGGTGGTTTAAAACAATTGAAATTTATTCCCTTACAGTTGCGGAGACCAGAAATTTGAAATGAAGGTGTCGGAGTGTCTGGGTGGTTCTGTCGGCCTAGTGACTCTTGATTTCAGCTCAGGTCATGATTTCAGGGTTGTGGGTTGGAGCCCTGTCATGACAGCGTGAAGCTTGCCTGAGATTCAGTTTCTCTCTCCCTCTGTCCTCCCCTTCTCTTGTACACATGCCATCTCTCACTCTCAAAAAAAAATAAAAATAATGATCAGGGCCACACTCACTCTGAAATCTCTGCAGAAGAGTCCTTTCCTGCTTCTTCCATCTTTGGGGGCTTCAGGTGTTCTTTGGCTTCCTTGGTTTCCTGTCACAAGTTGTTACATATTTAGCATATGTATGCATAACTCCAGTCCCTACCTCTGTCTTCACTTGAGTTTTTTGCTGTGTGTCTTCTCCTCATCTGTCTCAAATCTCTCTCTGTCTTTCTCTTATAAGAACACTTGTCATTGGATTTAGGGCCCAGCTGGATAATCTTGGATAACTCATCTCAAGATCCTTGGTTTTATCACATCCACAAAACCCTTTTCCCAAATAAGGCAGCCTTCATAGGTTCCAGAGGTTTTTGTGTGTAAATCTTCTGGGGGCCATTCTTCACCTAACACAGTACCAGACATGGTGGCTAGTTTATAGTAATAGTGCATACATGGGGCCATTATGATTCTAATGGGGCTTAAGAGATGATGAAAGTCAGTTCTTAGCAGACCTACATGCTCTTTGTCATGTATCATCTCCTTTGGAGAATAGACCAAAGCACCATCCCCTCAGAGAGAAAAGTGTGAGCAAAGGTCACTGTGATTGATAATTAGCTTCTGGATGAAGTGGATCCCTCTGCCTTGGATCCTTGGTTCCTTGGGTCATTCCATGATGCAAGGCAAAGAACTCTAGTCTTAGAAAGTGAGGTCTCCACAAGCAGCGCAAAAAACTGTTGTTTTGGGGTCAGATAAGAGGTCCTGGTCTTGGCTCTCCTTGTAACTAATTGTATGACCTTGGGCAAGTAACTTACTCTCTCTAAGCCTCAGTATCCTTATCTACAAAAGAAGAGCCAATGATTACCTGTAGGTGTTGTAAGAATTAAGGGAGGAAATATATAGACAGTGCCTTAACAAAATTGTGTCCCTCTTCTGCTATAAGCTTCCAATGGTTTCCATTCTTTTTGCATAAAAACAGAGATTTTTATGGTGACCTAAAGGGCCTTTCATCATTTGAGCCTCTCTTACTTTAACTCCTATTCTCCTGTCCTTCATTCATTACCTTTCAGCTATCCTGATATCTTGCTATTCCTCTAACCTCAGGGCCTTTACACTTGCTATTTCTCTGCCTAGAAAGTTCTCTCAGATACTAAAGAGCATGATTTTGCTTGCTTCTTTCTTGTAGGGCTTTCTTCAAAAGTCACTTCCCCAGTGAAGCCTTCTCTGGCTCTTCCATCTAAAATTGCACTCTACCTCACTCCTATCCAGCACTTCCTGTTCCCTTACCTGCTTTATTTTTCTCCTCATCCCTGATCACCATCTAACACAGTTTGTACTTGTTTGCTATCTGCTGTCCGCACTGGAATTTTTGTGAACTGCAATCACTGTCTTCCCTAGTGCCTAGAAAAATGTGTGGCACATAGTAGCACAAAATAAAAACTTACTGAGCTGATTTGAATTAATGATTGTTACTTTCATTTATTCTTTTTTTTTATAAAAGTAATCTCTACCCAATGTGGACTTGAACTTATGATTCCAAGATCAAGAGTTGCATGCTCCACCGACTGAGCCAGACAGACACCCCAGTTTCATTTTGCTCTTAAACTTCAACTCCTAATTGGCAAAATGGGAAATAATGTATAGAGGACAGGCCAATGTTACATGGAGTGTGATCTACAACTCAAAGGCAATTCTTGTTTGAGTTAGTATTTACACTATCTAGCACCTTACCTGGCACACAGGAGGCACTAGGTGAATGTTGAATAAATGAGCAAATAAATATGTAACAACTTGTGACAGAAAAATAAACTGATGAGAATTTATAAGGCATACTATCTAGATAATTAAGAACCCTTCCTCCATAAGAGGAACACCTTACATATTGATATCAGTGCTTTTTTTTTTTTTTTTTAAAGAGTTTGTTTTTAAGAAATCTCTCCACCCAGCCTGGGGCTTGAACTCACAACCACAAGATCAAGAGTTGCGTGCTGTACAGATTGAGTCAGTCAGGTGCCCCAGTAACTTATGAAACCATTCATGTATTAACTCATTTGGCAAATATTTACTTGTACGTTCCAGGAATTTATTTTAGGTATGAAGGCTATAAAGTCAAAATGACATGGCTAGCACCTTAGAGTTGCTTGCCACCAGTGTGGGAAATGTAAATGTGAATGGCTGGTTTGAGAACAGTATGGTGCAGCGGCCATAACTGTAGGAACAGAGGTCTGTGAGACAAGTGTAAGAAAAAGTGACACTTCAAAAGGGAGTTGGGGAGCTTCTTCAGAGGAAGGGATCTTTTCAAGGAGTCTGAAAGGAATGAGTTACTTTGTGAAGAAAGTAATGACAGGGAGTCCAGCCCTGAAGACTCACATTTTCAATGGCCTAAGAGTTGTATCATATATATTTGTATCATATATATATGTATCACATATATGTCTATTTAAATTTGTACATAATCTCGCCTTGCCCTCACTAAAAAGCAAGCTCACTGGGAGCAGGGATTTTTTTTTTTTTTTTTTGCATCCATTGCTATATCTCAAGCATCCAAGAAGCCATCCAGAAATATTTGTTGAATAAAGGAAGGAAAGAAGGACCTCGTGGGGTTATTATGTAGGATCATCAGTGAAAAATGGTGGCCAAGTGTTTTCTTACAAACACAACTATATCTGATTTCTCATTTCAGACAGCACAGTTTAATTGGGATCCAGAGACAGTGGGCCTTATCCATGGATCTTTTTTCTGGGGTTATATTGTGACACAAATTCCAGGTGGTTTCATTTCAAATAAGTTTGCTGCTAACAGGTAAGACAAATTGATGTAACATGAATGCAGTACAGATCATAACATGATTTTGTGTTTTTATAAAATCTGCACAATTGGCTCTTGATTTAGAGACACAGAATGAGAGATAGGAGCATTCCAATAGATGTGATACACAGATTGATCCCATATGATTCTGTTCCCTGAGAGTCTCTTTTTATTTACTTTCTTGTCTAATTTTAATTTATCTTGCAATTCTTTTAGTGATTATGTAGTCAAAAGGGTGATTGAATCTGAGAATCAGTTCAGGAGAAACAGGAGAAACAGTTCCTGAACCCTAAGTAACTCACTTGGTGACCTCTACTGAGTCTCTTTTCTTCCTTCTCTGGGTCTCTGTTTCCTCATCTATGAAATAAAGCGTGGTTTAGGTTATGTTTGAGTTCTCTTTGACAAGTGACATTCTGTGATCCTATGTACTATGTTAATATATTCCTGTACCATAAAGGTTTTGTCATATGGGCAGTAGGGGCTTGCCTCTAGATTGTAAGATGTCTTCAATGCTCTTGAGATTCTACAGCAGCTGTTTGGGCAATTAAAACTGTCCAAGATGGAATGAGCTGCCTCAAGGAGCAGTTGAGGTCTCTGTCAGTAGAGGTATTTAAGCAGAAGACTGCCACTTGGAAGAGATGTAGGGTATATATGTAGCGGAAAAGGAGCGTACTAAATATTTCCAGGTTCCTTCTGATTGTATGTCCCGTGTGATTTGTACATATGTGTATTTTATGAAATGTACATTTTATAAAGCTTTGTTTCTCAAACTCTAAAACACAACTCATGAGATGATAATGAAATCAACATAGTGATTTACCAATGAGCACATTATTAAAAAAGAGAGAAAAATAGAAGATAATCAAATAGAATAGGAAATATCTTAGTTCATGCACACTTAAGTATTGGTTTTTGAAACTTGTTTTAGTTAAATTTGTGTGTAGGATTATGTATTGGGTTGCAATATAAAATATATTTTGTTTTATAGGTCAATGTCAAAAAAGTTTAAAAGTCACTACCATAAGATCTAAATATGTACAAGCCTGACTGTATTTACCTATGTTCTTGTCTAATTTGTGTCCTTCATTCATTGTCACTTAACCTATTGTATTCCTTTCAAAAAGTGATAGAATATTGGCTTATATGGTCTTTGAATTTACTGCTTACACTTCAGCCATAAAAAGAAATCTCATATAATATTTCCCAGCATGTTAAAAGGGCTGAGGCATCATTAATGTGTGAGAAAGGAAGAAAATGCTGCCTGTCCTTTTCTCCCAGGATAATCTGATCCAGGCAGGAAGGGGAGGGCAAATGACACTGGGCAGCGAGTTGGGGGCTAAGACAGGTAGGTACACAGCCTGTTTTGTGCTTGGATAGTCTTAGGACATAGCACGATTTTAGATACGGTAGCCTTCTAGTAAAGTGAGAGCAGAATTGCAAAGCAGGAGACAGAATCCAAATGTGCAGATGTCATGTGGTATAGAGTGAGTCAGTTGAGTAGGACCAAGCAGAATGGTACATCTCCAGCAAGCTCAACTCCTGTTGGTCGGTTTCCAGCTTCAGGACCTCATTCAGGTCAGACATCCCTGTACTGCCAAAAACCTGTCTGTAACTGTTCCAGGGATGAGGTCAGGTATCAAAACAGCCCAGAGTCCAGCCTGGAATACACCAGACCCTAACATGACATCTATTTCTCTTTCTATTAATTTCCATGGTGATTTTCCATGAATGGTGAGGTTCATTCCTGATGTTTAACTAGAGTACCACATCCGTGAGTGGACCTGCCCACTAACACAGTGTTTTGGTCCCTCAGGGTCTTTGGAGCCGCCATCTTCTTAACATCAACTTTGAACATGTTCATTCCTTCGGCAGCCAGAGTGCATTATGGCTGTGTCATGTGTGTCAGAATTTTGCAAGGTCTAGTGGAGGTAGGAGTTTCTTTCCTTAAAGTTTTTTTGATATTGCTAAATAAAGTATGGTCCTTTAGAAAATTCAGCTTCTGAGGAAAACCTGCTTTGCATAGTTTTCCAATGTTCCACATTGTTCTGCTATTTTCACTCTCTGGTTTTGACTACAGTTACGAGCAGTTTAATGAAAATGACTTGTGTGATTACAAATTTGTACACAATAAAGGACTATTTCATAGAGTGCAGAATTTCAGGTGAGCCAGGAATGGTCTTAGAGATAATCTAATCCAACCCTTTAATATTTCCTTTAATAAATGAAAGGACTGATGCCCAAATCCTTTAGTTCACATGGCAGTGGCCATTTCCACTAAAGCAATTGAAATGTATTTATTAATAAATCTGTAAATTTCCAGGGTGTAGCGTTACACAGAGATTTAACTCAGAGAAAGAGGTAGCATGGTAGAGAGTCAAAAGGTAAATATTTTGGACTTTGACATATGTTCCATGTGGCAACTACTCAACTCGACCATTGTAGAACAAAAGCAACCAGAGATAAGCAAATAGGCATGGCCAAATTTTAATAAAACTTTTTGGGCACTGAAATTTGAATTTCATACGATTTTTACATGCCATGATATATTATTCTCCTTTTAATTTGTTACTCACTTGAAAACCATGAATACTGAGTAGTAGATAGAACTGTTGTATCACTATATTATACACCTGAAACTAACATAATACTGTATGTCAACTATCCTGGAATTTTAAAAAAAAGTTTGTTTTTTAAAAAAATTTTTTTAATTTTTTAAATTTATTTCTGAGAGAGAGACAGCGCGAGCAGGGGAGGGTCAGAGAGAGAGAGGGAGACACAGAATCTGAAACAGGCTCCAGGCTCTGAGCTGTTAGCACAGAGCCCAACGTGGTGCTCGAACCCCCGAACTGTGAGATCATGACCTGAGCCAAAGTCAGATGCTTAACCGACTGAGCCACCTAGGCACCCCTAAAAAAAGTTTTTAAAGAAAAAATTTTAATGTTTATTTATTTTCTAGAGATACAGGAGGGGAGGGGCAGAGAGAGAGGGAGAGAGAGAATCTCAAGCAGGCTCTGCACTGTTAGTGCAGCTCAAACCCACAAACCATGAGATCATTACCAAGCTAAAAATCAAGAATCACATGCTTAATCAACTGAGCCACCTAGGCACCCCCCCAAGAAAAGAACTTAATAAAAAAATAAAAAATAAGAAAATAAAAACGTGAGTCTAGAAATGTAAAAACCAGTCCTTCCTCACGAGTAATACAAAAACAGATGGTGTGCTAAATCAGGCCATAGTTTCTCAGGCCCTGATGTAGAGCAGTGTTTCCCAAGCTCTACCCTTTCTTACTTTTGTCATATCCATATACAATTTGTACTATTATTTACCTATAGTTTTCCCCTAGATCAGTTCATTTAAAAAGCCCCTACACTCCCCAAAAGAACATCATAAGCAACAATATCTTCGAAATCATGGGTTTCGTGTGCCAGTTACATTTTTGTCTGAAGCCCGTTAGAATATACATGTACCAATTATGACAAAACATGTAGGTTGTGGGCATCTTGGTGGCTCCATTGGTTAAGCCTACAGCTCTTGATTTTGGTTCAGGTCATGATGCCACAGTTAGTGGGTTTGAGCGCTGCGTCAGGCTCTGCACTGACAATGCAGATTGTGATTCTCTCACCCTCTCTTTCTCTGCCTCTCCCTTGCTCGTGCTCTCTCTCTCTCTCTCAAAATAAATTAATGAACTTAAAAAAAATGTCGGTTGTTGTGGCAACTCAAATCTAACTCTAGTCCCGCTAGAGGGACATATACTGCACTTTAGAAAAAAGTGATGGGTAGAAAGAACATGCTATTAACGACCGTGAAGACCAGAGTAGTTACCTAATGGTTCTAGCCTCAGGTTCTACACCTTGAAATGAGGAGATGGATCAACTGATTGCAGAAGTCCCTTCCTATACTGATATTCAATAATAATATGAAACATAAAGACCTCTTCCCCATCCCCCACCATTCTTACATTTGAGCTGATATTCAAATTTCAGCATCTGTGCAGTCAGTTAAAATACCTGACACAGGCTACTTGGTATTTATAAATTGGGCTTTTATGTTGTAGCCTGTCTTAAAGAAGCAGGATCCGTATTTTAAACAAACAGAAACTGGAGTCAAATCAAATAATTTATTTTCAACTGTTTTGCCAGGGTGTGACCTACCCAGCCTGCCACGGGATGTGGAGTAAGTGGGCACCACCTTTGGAGAGAAGCCGACTGGCCACAACCTCTTTTTGTGGTAAGTGTATTAGAATTGTAAGCTTTACTTGAGAATGCTTTGGCTTCAAGTAAAGATCTTACTAGGTAGAATCTATTTTTTTTTTTCACATAACAGAAGTCCAAAAATGACACAATTGGCCCTATTGTGTCAAATGCTTTACCAACTACAGAGGCAGCTAGCTTTTCCAGTGCTTTTAGTAGAGAACGGTAAAAAAGAAGGGGTTGGAAGTGGTTGTTGAATTAGCCAACAAATATTTGCCAAAATCAAAAGCAGAAGAGATTGAATCATCAAGCCCTTTCCTCCTCTTTTTTTTACAGATGGAGAAACTGAAATTAAAGTTTATAGTTTAGTTTCATTGAATGGAAATTAAGGTCCAAGGTCACACTGAGCATGGAAGGGGATCTAGACAATCTGATTCTCTTTGTTATTAAATGTTTATTTATTTAGTTTTGAGGGGGGTCTAAGGGGCAGGGAGAGATTGAGACAGAGGATCCAAAGCAGGCTCTGCACTGACAGCAGAGAGCCCAATGTGGGGCTGGAGCCAAAATCAAGAGTTGGATGCTGAACCGACAGAGACACCCAGGTGCCCCAGGACCACCTGATTCTTAATTCAGAAGGTTCCTCACTACATTACTATGTACACATTATCACAGAGATCTTTTAATTAATTTTTGCCATTACATTACAGATGAAAATGGAGGCCATCCATCTTACCTGAAAGTATATTAGTGGTCCTTAAGTAGTGATGTGACTTTAATTCCTGGGTCATCAGACTTCACCTTGTTAAGGTTGTCTTACTCCAGGTCATGTTTTTGGAAAGGGCCTCTATGTATCTCAGAAATAATCAGTATTTGAAGGGTCTACCTAGATACCAATCAATAATTGAACAAGGACAGTGCATGCTGGCACCATCAACACAGTTGTAAAATATACTTTCCAATCTTTTTTTTATGTGGGGAGGGGCATGGGAAGACAAAAATACTTTAGGTCATTAAAACTACAATGGAGACTGGGAAAAATTAGGATCAAAATTTAGTTCTGTCTAGTTTTTCAAGCTAGTGTGACTTTCCTAAGAGAAACTAAATTGTATTCCTTAGCTAAGGGGAGAAATAATGTTTCCTCTTAATTTCTGTGAATATTATAATTTATTCCTCCCCTGCTGTTTCTCTTTGCTTTCTTAAATAATAATAATAATAATAATTAATAATAATAATAATATAGAATCTCTGGGACTTTGGTGTGAATATTCACCAATGTGCCTATTTTATGCCTAGTTTGGAACTAAATGCAGAGTGAGATATCTTGCGTCTTTAAGCTCTCTTGTCCTTAGAAACCATTTTTCTCCTCTTGCTTATAGTTCAAGACCATCTCCACTTCCACTATTGACCTTGTGCCAGCTCTAGAAGAATATAAGATTCTGACCTTGTGAGATGTCAGATCCTTGACTTTATTTTCTTTCGATGGTTTATTTATAAGGCTTTTCATTTTGATTTGCCAGCAACGCAAGGATGACTAGCTGCCACTCCCCATTCTTGGTGTTTTTATAACCCTTAAAAGGTTGATTTACGAAGTAGTTTGACTCTCAAGGAAAGTTACCTGATCAAAGTCATAGGCTTTATTACTTTTCCTGGCTAAGGTGTGGCCTTGGTTTGAAAGAACAGTCAAGGAAAAATGTCATTAGAAGGAAACCCAGATTTGGGAGTAATCGGTTCTTACACAAAAAATATTGGAGTTGACAGGGTCTTTAGGAAATATCCAGTCGAGTAAGTTCTCCCAGCTAGGGAGGGCAGAACTGGGGACTTTCCCACCCCAAATGGCTAGTCTGCTTCCTCCTGCCATTCCACAAGCATTGGAGGGCTCCTCTGTCCTCCACTGCCAGCCCACAGATAGATCAAGGTACAGTTAGCTCCCCCAGGGCAGTTTGGATGGTGCACCCCATGGGGGTATGCTCAGGGGCTGTGGGTATGACAGGAGATGACACGCAGCCATGTCCAGAAGGATGAGGAAAAGTTTATCTACTAGACAGGGAAGGACAGTTTAAAGTGTAAAATGTCCTCTATGAAAGAATGATTCCTAGTATGAGGAAATAATGGGCATTTTTAAGTGGAGGAGGCAGGACTATGGATAAAGGCTCTGGATTCACACCTGTGTGACCTCAGGCAATTTGCCTCCCTTCCCCCAGCCTTGGTTTCTGCCATAAATGGGGATAATATTGGTACCAACGCCAAGAGGTTGAAAAAAGGGTTAAATAAAATCTTGGGTCTAGAATCTTCAGCCTTATAGTGGACACACACAAAGCATCCAACACATCTTAGCTGCTGATGGTTATTCCCTGACCTTCCCTGTCCCTAACATTTCCTACCCCTCAGTTCCAGGAAATATGGCCCAGGGAAGACCACCTTCTCCACACCCACAGCAGAATCAGGCCTGCAGCTCTTTCTAAACAACATGCCTTTGGATGCTTGTCTTCCTGGTTTGAGGAAGTTGAGGTTAAAAAAAAATGCATTGTCATTCTGTACATTACAGTAGCGTAATGGCATTTGTGCAGCACTAACTACAGCTTACAAAACATCTTTAGAGACATAGTTTATTTGATTCTCAAAATGACTCTGTGATATGGAGATTTCATTCCCAACTTCTATCTGAGGAAAATGATTCCCACAGACTGAGAGACTCCCTCTGGTGCCGTGATGCTCAGGTTTGGGATTCCAGGCCAGTCAGGCCCAGGTTGGAAAGATGGAATTTAATCTCTTTCTCTGGGAAGATCCCTAAACTCCCATTTCCTGAAGGTCTCCCTTTGCACTAGGATCTGAGATACAGAATTTCCTGTTGCTACTCACTTTTTCTGAGCAAGAATTTTTTCATTCACAGCTCAGAGGGAATTTTAGGCAGTAATTTTTTTTTTTTTTTTTTGATTCAGTTAATACTGATTGGGAGTTTTCAGGGCTTGTATTTCTACAGCAGATATCACAGAGCTGTAGGGCATAGTGGAGGCCAGGCCTCTAGTCTTCATTATCTTGTCTAGACAAGACAAACATCCACATATAGGTGAGTATTTACAAGGTTAAGTATTTACAAAGAAATAAACTTAAACACATGCCCATTCCAGAGGTAGGTGGAGAGAGAAGCCATCCTGTTCATACTGCCATCCTGGAATAGAACTGTTTCCTGATTAAAAAAAAAATCAAGACTCTAAAAAGACTGATTTCTTAATAGTCCGAAGTCCCTCATTTAAAGACCTTCTGAACTGTGAGCTCTGAAAGACAGATCTATTTGTGCCTTTTCTTGCTGTCTTCAGCACATAGTACTATACCCGGTTGGGGGGCCTGGGTGGCTTTGTTGGTTGAGTGTCTGACTTTGGGCTCAAGTTGTTATCTCATGGTTTGTGGGTTCGAGTCCCACGTCAGACTCTGGCTCACTGCTGTCAGTGTGGAACTGCTTTGGATCCTCTGTCCCTCTTTTTCTGCCCTTCCCCTGGTCACACTCTCTTTCTCTCTCTCAAAAATAAAATTAACATACAATAAAATATATTGTACCTGGTTGAATTTTTCAAATTTCTCTGAGGTTTTTCTTCTTGTTCTATTTTTTCATGTAATTCCAAATTGCTGTGCCTGAGCAATCTTTGTCTCATCCCTCCATGGTACCTGGATGTAGTTAAAGGGCATCCGGTGAACTTTCTCTGCTGGAAGCCTTGTGGTAAGGCACACGGGGAGTTTGTCCCTCTTCACAGAGGCATTCTGACTCTCGCTCGGTTCGATTCATCCTCATCTCCACAATAGGAACTCGAGATGGCTTGAAGGGGCATGAGGGGCAGTTGCTAAGTTTCCATCCATGTTTCCTTGTTCTAGGTTCTTACGCGGGGGCAGTGATTGCCATGCCTCTGGCTGGGGTATTGGTACAGTACATTGGATGGGCCTCTGTCTTTTATATTTATGGTGAGTAATTTGACTCTATGAGTTCCCATGGTTGACTCATAGAAATGGTATTTTACTGTATACTGGGATTGGCTAAGAATTTACTTTATGAATGGAGTGCCTGCATAGCTCAGTTAGTTAAGTGTCTGACTTTTGATCTCAGCTCAGGTCATGCATAATCTTTCCATTAGTGAAACTGAGCCTCACATCAGGCTCTGTGCTAATGGCATGGAGCCTGCCTGGGAATCTTTCTCTCTGCCTCTCTAATGTTCGCTCTGTCTCTCTCTCTCTCAAAATAAATAAATAAATATAAAAAAAGAATTTACTATATGAAAATAGAGATTATTAAAACAAGTTTATCATGTAAGTGGAATACTTGTCTGTTTATGATTCATTTAATGCTTATGTTAAAGTTTCTTTCTTAATGAGAACAATATTACGTTTCTTTATGTGCCAGCCAACAACAGGAAAAGCAACAAAATACTTCCTTCTAGATGAACATCATGTCATATGGCAATATTTTGAGAATCAGACAACTTAGAGACAGAAGACAAGGAAACCATATCATTAAACCTTTTGTTTTTATTGCAGGTATGTTTGGGATTATTTGGTACACATTTTGGCTTCTGCAGGCCTATGAGTGTCCCGCTGCTCACCCAACAATATCCAGTGAGGAGAGGACCTACATAGAGACAAGTATAGGAGAAGGAGCCAACGTGGTTAATCTCAGTGTAAGTAGAGATGGACAGATAAAGACTGCCTATTTTCTACTTCTTTTAGTGATTGTGTTATCCTCTCAAGAAAAATAATATGTCAATACAGTCACTAAAAATCTCCTGGTATTTTTACTCTCTAGAAATTTAACACACCATGGAAAAGATTTTTCACATCGTTGCCAGTTTATGCAATCATTGTGGCAAATTTTTGCAGAAGCTGGACTTTTTATTTGCTGTTAATAAGTCAGCCTGCTTATTTCGAAGAGGTCTTTGGATTTGCAATAAGTAAGGTAAACACATAGATGCTTCAAATGTTCTTGGACCTTAAATCTCTTGCTTCTACTGAAAAAATCTTTGCATGATATGATAATTAAATTGCTGATCAAAATTCATAACAGTTCTGTGACACCTAATACCCTAGGGGTCAAACAAGTTATATATTTTGGGCACAGTATACCTAGCTATTTAATTTCTTTTTTGTAAGGATCAGAGCTGTTTTAAGGTGCTTTTAAGGACTTATGTTCTATTCTATCTCAAAGTGTTTTTGAAGCTAAACTCACAAAATGCATATTAAGTAAGAATAAAAAGATTTGAGGGTAGAGGGTTTTTTTCCTTCTTATAAATTACTCAGTGAGTAGCAGTAAGATCCTTAAAGCTTACTTTGCAGACCACCGTTCTCTCTATAATGGTAGTTATAGCAATAATAACCATTGCCTTGTATGATTTAGAAAGAACCTCTTTCAATGTCCCCAGCCACTGTGATTAGGTTGTCTGCATTTTAGGGAGGAAAGGTGTATGTAGATGGTGAAACATAAGCCGTCATCATGAGAGAATTAACCACCTTCCTACAGGGAAAGAACAGCGGCCTAGTAGAGGTAGATGTTTGCATAGCTCCAGGTCCTGTGTGGAATGATCATGGAGGAGCTATATATATAGTCAAGTCCTAGTGGTTGCCATCCATGAACGCTCACTCTGTGACAAGTGTTTAACTACCATGTGCCAGGCCCTGTGGCAGGTGCCGGGGCCCCCGTGACGAATACAAGTCAGGTCTGTCCTCAAAGAGCTTCCAGTCTGGTGGGAGAGACAGGTCTATACTTAAAAGCATTCACTCATTTGTTATTTATTACAAAATTCAGGCCTATCTGGGTCCCCTATAATTAGATGATTAAACTTGGTGAGGGGTGGGCAACGATTAGGGAAGTACATTTGTCTGAAGCAGCTAAAAATAGCTCATTGTTTTTTCTTTTCTCTCCAGGTGGGTCTTCTGTCAGCAGTCCCACACATGGTTATGACCATCATTGTGCCGATTGGAGGACAATTGGCTGATTATTTAAGAAGCAGAAAAATTTTGACCACAACTGCTGTCAGAAAAATCATGAACTGTGGAGGTACTATGGATTTCATTGGTGGCTTAAGTAGCCTTTACAGAGTGAGATGAACTGCAGAGCATATTTTGGGGGTTCTGTCTAATCATCAAAAAGGATCTTAAAGGCCCCTAAATCCATCCCCCAGCTCTTGAGCATCCATCACACCCCTGCTAACATCCAGCTTGTGCAGCCTGAGATAGGACAACTTAGCTGGTAAATCAGTCCTCACCTCCAACTGCAGAAATGCTTCTTTCATTTACTCTTCAGCCAAAGCAAACTGATTTCCTGTGACGTATCTTTATTGTTTATCCTTCCCATACATTCTCCCATACAAATAATCCTTTGCTTATGTAGGTTATATACAGGTTTTAGTAAGAAACACAAGAAAAATATTTCCTCTGAATAGTCTTCTTTCTTAACATATGCACGCGCGCACGCACACGCACACACACACACACACTTTTCTGCTTTTATTTAGTTTCTGTTTTATGTTTTGATTTTGCAAAGACAAATCAGAAGCTGGTTGATTTTCCAAAAGGGGGAGGTAAAGGTAATCATGAACCCCTACAATGTTTATAACTGCTCACCTTTTTTAAACCTTCCACTTTTGTTTAAATCATTTTTGTTGTTGTTTCTGTGTTTAAATTAGCATTTATTGGATGCTTTCTGTGTCAGACACTAAGCTATTTCCTCACTGTGGTTTACAGTGAAGAAACTGGGGTAAAACAAAGTGACTTGCTCACATGGCAGATCCTGTGCAAGATCTCTGTCTGAGCTCATTGTCCCAGTCACTGCAGCTACTCCTGTGGACTGGGGTCAGGGTGTGCGAGCAGGAGGTAGAGAACAGTGCCATCTATGGGTGAAAGGTCACAACTGCAATATTAACTTGGAAAGGAGGGAAGGTATGGACTGTCACTCTAGATTAGATGGGTCAGGATACTTAAAAGTGAAGATTATACAGAGGCTACACAAGAGCAGACATAATGTGGTCCAGAAGCATTTCAGATATAAAGTCTGATCAGGGAGCTTGGGAATAATCTATTGGCATCAAGTCTCCCAGCAGTTTGACTGCTGGTCCCAGGCAGAGATGTTTGGCCCTGCCATTGATGTGAACTTCTCCACGGGCAGCCAAAGGTTGGCAGGTGTGGATCTGCTCTCTGGAAAGTGAGAGGTGAAGCTCTAAGGCACTGCATTCAAAGTAGCTGAGGTAGACAGTATAATGGCCCCCAAAGATGTGCACGTTCTAATTCCCAGAATTTGTGCTTATGTTTCTCTATATGACAAAAGGAACTTTGGAGATATGATTAAGTTCAGGACCTTGAGATGGGGAGATGATCTTGGATTCTCTGAGTGGACCCAATCCCAATGTAATCACAGGATTCCTTATAAGAGGAGGCAGGAGGGACAGGGGAAGAAGTTGGAGTCAGAGAAGAAGATATGATGGTAGAGGCAAACACCAGAGTGATGCAGCTGCAATCGAAGGAGTGCAGGCAGGCTCTAGAGGCTGGAAAAAGCAAGAATAGACTTTCCTCTAAAGCCTCCAGAAGGAACACAGTTTTGCTAACATCCTGATTTCAGCTCTCTAGGACCCCTTTCAGATTTCTGAGCTTCAGCACTGCACAATAATAAGTTTGTGTGGTTTTAAGCCAGTAAATTTGTAATAATTTGTTACAACAGCAATCAGAAACTCATACAGGAGCCGCTCCTCTGGGTATCACATTGTGCTCCAGCTGAATAGCCCTCCACAGCAGGCCCTGGGTATCTCTTTCCATCTCCAGCTTTGCTTACTCCCTTGCTCTTGACTGTGAGCTCTTCTCACCTTCAATTCTCACCCTAGTCCTCTTCACACATCCTTCCACATGAGTTCATCCTCCTTGTGAGGTCTATATCAGCTTCTATTGACTACTCCTTCCTCTGCATATACTTGGTTGGTACCTCATCATGTACTACCTTATTATACTTCTTGAAGGAAAGTGTTTTAAGCAGAATAGCATGTGCAATGGCCCCGAGGCAGGCATTAATGTGGCATGTCAGAGAGCAGAGGAAAGGAAAGTCAGAATGGCTGGAGCTTAAGGAGTGAGGTGGAGAATGACAGGAGATGGGACCAGAAAGCTTGATGATGTTGAGATCTTTGGAGGCTTTGTAGACATGTGCAGAGCTTGGGTTTTATTTGAGATGCCCTGGGAAGCAAGTAGAGGGTTTAAAGCAGGGAAAGTGACATGATTTGATTTATATTTTCAAATCTGATAGAACATAGAACACAAGAATAAAAGAAGGGAGACCAGTTAGGAGGCTATTTTGGTTATTCTTAGCTAAAGTGGTGTCAATGGAGGTGGAGAGAATGGATTTTTAAATTCTCTGAGCCCAATATTCTTCTTTAATTTTTTTTTTACATTTATTTATTTTTGAGAGACAGAGTAAGACAGAGCATGAGCTGGGGAGGGGCAAAGAGAGAAGGAGACACAGAATCTGAAACAGCCTGCAGGCTCTGAGCAAGCATTCAGCACAGAGCCTGACACGGGGCTCGAACCCACAAACCGTGATATCATGACCTGAGCCGAAGTCGGACGCTCAACCAACTGAGCCACTCAGGCGCCCCCCCCCAATATTCTTCTTTAAAATCTGAATAATAGTATTTATTTCCAATGATTGTTCCAAATGTTAAGTGAGCCAGCATACAAATGCACCTAGAATGGGTCCAACCTATGGAAGGTTTTCAGTAGATGTTAATGCGTTTTTCCTCTCCTGTGTTTAAGACACTGACAAAACAGAAGTTTTTCTAAGGAGGTATTCAATAAATATTTGCTATTCAAATATATTTCCCACAGCCAAAAGTATGCAACTTCTTAATCTGGAACTTGAAAGAAAATTCTGGATTTCAACTCCACTTGTACAACCTTTCCTAAGCCAGATGCCTTGGAAAATCTGAACATACTTTATGTTTGTGTTTAATTTTCCCCCAAACGTACTCATTTGTGTTTAATTTTGCCACAATCACTTTAGCCATTGTTCCTCCACAATCGATAGTGTTGGCATGGGGGGCAGGAGTGGTGGTGAGAATTCTCAAAGATTTTAAAGTGTTAACAAAGTGACTATTAAAAACAAATCTCTTTTCCCCCCAAAACTAGAATGCAAACATAGAACCTCCCCAGCCTCTCTCCCATCTTAAAAAACAAAACAAAACTCCCAAAACCTCTCTGCATATCTTGTCATGTCATTTTGTATTTTGAAATAGCAGGATCAGTGAGTTCTACATAGAATGTTTTAAAAAATGATTGTCCTATTTTACTTATATACAAAGATGCTAGACTAGAAATAAATACATGAGGAGAGAGTTGTGTGCCATCATTGAACAAGCCAGATTGATTTGGGACATAATGAAGCACTTGCATGATCTTCTAGATAATGTTAGTTGGTTTCATGTTCTCTAAGAAGAAATGTAGAGGACAATTTCTCGTTTGAGAAGGCTCACACACTTCCTAGAGTCTGTCACTTTCTTTTCTTTCCACAGGCAAAGGATGTTTGCTGCTAGAATCATTTAAAGCAAACAGATCACCTAAGACCTGAAGATCTGTTCTAGTTCATTCTCAACCAGGGCACATTTCCAAGATCCTCAAAAACAGATGTCAAATCCTGTACTTCCCTCTATAGTACTTGGTAAAGTGTGACTGAGGTAAAAAATTCTAGTCTGGCTCCATCGGTTGCCAGTGTGAACACTAGATTGTTTTAATATCAAGTGAACATTTTTCTCAGACCTTTAAATCCTAGTTATGTTCTTCTGGCCAGCTCTGAATAGGTTCACTTTCAAGGTCTTTTGATCACTCTGAAGTTCAAATTTTATCTTAAAGCTCCTGAAAAATACAGTCAGTCATAGCTCTAGCATTTCTCACTATAGATAGAAACTATTTAAGCTCTTAAATGCTTCCCCCACTCCCTTTGGAAATCTACTAACTATTTGGCAAAGATCATTTTTTTTCCTTTACAGATGAACCAGTGTGTCATTTGTAAGTTTTATTCTTCACAAAATGTCTCCATTCTAATTCTTTGGGGGAATTGATTTTTCAGTACAACCTTTGTCTAGAGTACTAAGATAAAAGAAGTTTCAGCTAGGAGCGCCTGGGCTTAGTCAGTTAAGCATCAGATTCTTGATTTCTGCTCAGGTCATGATCTCATGGTACATGAGATCAAGTCCTGTGTCGGGCTCAGCACTGCCAGTGTGGAGCCTGCTTGGAATTTTCTCTTTCCCCCTCTCGCTGCCTCTCTTCTATGGGCTCATGCACATTCTCTCCTCTCTCTCTCTCTCTCAAAATAAACAAATAAAACTAAAAAGAAACAAAGTTTCAGCCAGATGCCTTGTTATTTAAAATGGGCCACTTCAGAAACACTTTTAGTTAGTATATAAAATACGAGCAATTTTCGCCTATGTATGATTTAAAATCTTGAAACAAAATTAACAAGTAGTGGTGATATAAAGCCCCTAGTTAAAAAGCACCGCTGTTCCCCATTTCATCTGATTCTTTTTGAATGACCATCTAAAACCATTACTGATGCTTGCTTTATTTCTGTGATAGTTTTGAGAAAATGAACTCAGAAGGTACGCAATTCACCAAGTTCTACAAAAGGTGTTTTAGCTTGTATTTCAAGCTAACTGTCTTGATTCCAGGTCCCATTTTCTTCCCTTTACAATAATTCATTATCTATTTATTGAGTGTCTGCTACATGCTAGCCAGGCTCTGTGCTGTATACGTGGTATCTTTCTGGATAATGTCAAAGTTTGTGGCAGAGGCAGAAACACAAATGAAAAATTACAAAGCACTGTTGAAAGATTTGTGAATGAGTAAGAAAAAAGAGATGTCAGCTTCACCAGTGCGGGAAAGGGCAGGGTTGTCAGAGACGCTTCCTAGAAATAATATTTGAAACGGCCTTTAAGGGATAGTAAGTTTGCTCCAGAAAAAGAGAAGTAAGTATCTGGAGAAGAGTATCGCAGGCAAAGAGCGAGCCTGTAAAAATACATAATGTGGATGAAACTGTGTTATGAGTAGGAAATGCTCATAGATCTACATGGCTACAACAGAGGGCTTTATACGGTCCAGGGACAGGGCAGTGAGGGCTGGCAGATGAAACTGGACCATCAGGAGGGGCTTATTATATGTCCTATGCTGATAACGTGGGACTCTTGACAAAAGTTTTAAGCAAAAGGGCAATGGAGTAAATGTGTGGTTTAGAGAGATAGTGATGTGGAGAATGGGTCAGAGGAAGAAGAGGTGGGGAGGTCAACAAAGGAGCTATTGAATTTGTTTAGATGAGAACTAGTGGCACCCAGGAATGAGACAGTGGAAGAGGATACACAGAGGTCATATTTGACACCCACAAATTTGTATGTGAAAGCTGAGGAAGAGTAAGTGTCCAAGATGATTCTGCGATTTGTACGCTTGACTTTTGGTTGACTTTCTTTTTTTAAAAAAAATTTTTTTTAAAGTAATCTCTATACCTAATGTGGGGTATGACTCAAAACCCCAAGATCAAGAGTCACATGCTCCAATGTGACTGTAAGCATCCCACTTTCGGTTGACTTTTGAGCTGTGCTCATGTGACAGGGACTGCACTTGATGCCTTATATATCCAATTTTATTTAATCTTCCAGCATCCTACAACTTTGTATCATTAGCCCCATTTTTGAGAATGAGGGATCTAAGGGGTGAAGTGACTTGTCTAGGGTCACATCATTAGTGATTTTGTGGTAGAACTTGAACCCAGGCTTGTCTGAATGTAAAGTCTGGGTTGTAAACATAGTTGATAGATTAATTCTATCTAATATGGTCTTTGAGGTGACTACAGGGCAGTTGGGTGGAGATGTCTGGAATCAGCAGACAGTCTCCAGAATGAAGCATCATTGTCTTCTACCTCCCAGGGCACTTCATATACCTGGAAATGGCACTTACATCATCTTTCTATCTGCTGTTGCCTGAACTCAAGTGTGTGTGCTTGTATGTATGTATATGTGTGTGGTGTGTGTTTTGTGAGAAGGAACATCTTCATAATTTCTTCATCCTTTTTTATTGTACTGGATTCAGTTATTTAGAATGAAAGGAACAGAAAGTACTTCTGTCCTGCTGTATTTCTGTGCAAATGTCTCATGGCTTTTATAAAGAGGCCTGAGAGCTTGGTGAACTTCTGAAAGGGAAGAATTTTGCCTTATGCTTTGCAAGAGGTGAGGATCTGCTTTTTGTTTCCGATATTCTCTAACGCGTTCTGGTCATTTCTGGTGATATATGTTAGAATATTGTCATTATATTTTTCTGTGAGTGGCCATAACTTATATAACCAAAGGGGGGGGATCAGTACCCATTACCCATGAAGCAACTGATAATAAATATCCCCCATCCCAAGGGCATCATTGAAACCTGCTGGTAACGCTCAGTATTCAACATGGATCAGAGTGCATGTTGGAAGGCTCACAGAACACCTGGGTAATATTAGCATAGTCTTGTAATCATGAAGCACCCAAGTAATATTGTAAGCAATGTGTCAGAATGCACATCCTAAAAAACTAGGCCCATGGAAATATGAATTATATTCTTATTTGGTAAATTTATGAACAGAGCTGACTGACATGTAAACAATATTTTTTCCTGCTGTTTGCATTTGCAGGTTTTGGCATGGAGGCAACCTTACTCCTGGTGGTTGGCTTTTCCCATACTAAAGGGGTGGCCATCTCCTTCCTGGTGCTTGCTGTAGGATTTAGTGGCTTTGCTATTTCAGGTGAGGTGTCCTTTGGTTTTCCAAATCTTTTCTACAGATTCAGCAAGTCTTGGGAGGAAGGAAGGAAAAGAATATTGTATGACTTTCCTTTAGTAGCCAGGTAATTCCCAATGAGCAGGCTACTGGCTAGAGAATTTCATCATGTGGGAATGACTTTGTAAGATTGCTGAGGAATAGACCTAGGAGTCTAGGCGAGCTGGAATTGCCCCTACCTCCCTACTTGGAAGAAGACACAAAGTGCAGGCAACCCCCCCTGAGCTGTGAGCACAGGCACAAGCATGTGTCCTGGGTTAAGTGGCTCTTGATACTTTAGGACCAGGTAACTCTTCCTCACAGACGCTCTTGATTTTCTATCCTCACCTCTAACTAGAGACGGCTAATATTAGCTCAAAAGTCAGATGATGTAGTCATTTGATGTAGTGTCATAAAATCGGAAGTTTTTTTAGAGTGGAAAGCTTCTTTGGAAGCTTTTATCTTCTGCATGGCTTTCATTTTCTAAAGAAGGAAATGCAGAGGGGAAGTGACTTTCCCAATAGGAGAGAGTACATAGAAAGAATAATAATGATGACTGTGAGAGCTAACCAATCACAACTCCATGCCTGGGCCTGTTCAAATCCCTCTATGTAATTCTCATGCTACCCTAAGTGGCATCAGTCTCTGTTTTACAGAAGCAGAGACCAGTCTACTTACTGTTACTGTGTGACAGGCCAGGGTGCTATCATATCGTGTCTTATGAGCTTCAGAAGCTCCCTATGCAAAAGTGGGTGAAAAAGTAAATTTAATTTTTTTTTACCTTTAAAACATACTGTAACACTGACAATGATCACTTACGGAATAGTTTACATATATCATGTGTATCTCACAACACTGTGAAGCAAGTAGGTAACACCACTATTTTACTGGTGAGGTACCTAAAACTCAGAAAAAGTAGATCTTTTTCTACTGCCATACAATTGGTGGCAAAAGAAGTAAAGTACAGTTCTGGCTGGCTCCTTGCTAGTGCTCTTTCTATCATTCCAGGCTGCCTGAAAGATCAGAGGACAAATGTTCCAAGACAGAAAAATATGGAGCCTCTGGTAGTTTTCTAAACCACCCTAAAATAAAGCCTTGATCTTTTCAAAATAAATAGAGCTGTTGAACAGTGAAGTTAGGGGGAAAAATTCTGAGCTGTCAGCACAGAGCCTAATGTGGGGCTCGAACTCACAAGTGGTGAGATTCTGACCTGAGCTGAAGTTGGATGCTTAACCGACTGAGCCACCCAGGTGTCACCCGAAACTCTTATTTTAAATATAAGTAGCTTGCAACCAAGAACTTGGGTTTGGAGGTACATAGGCCTGATTTTGAGGTCTCTCTTTACTACTTGCTATTTATAAAAGGAAAAGTTGGCTAATTTATTTAAATTCTCAAGCCCCAGTTTCCTCACTCAGAAATTGGAGAAGTATAATGACAACGTCACAGGGTTATTGGGAGAGCCCAATGAACTTCAGATAATTTCATGCGTTCACTCATACTTCTATGATCTGGTTGCTGTTTTCAGCACTAGGGATATTGCAGTGAAAAAAATGAGACGGTGTCCTTATAAAGTTTACATTCTAGTGGAACTAAAGCATTTGAAATGCTTAGTCCAGTGCCAGATGCACAACAAAATGAATAAGTATTCACTATTGTGAATTGTGTTCTTCAGTTATTATACACTTTAGCCAAGGACTTCTCAAACTTTGATGCCCATATAAATCACCCTAGGATCTTAAAGAATGAAGATTCTGATTTCAGCAGGTTCAGGATGGGGCCTGAGATTCAGCATTTGTAACAAGCTCCCCTTGTTACAGCAGCTGCTGCTGCTGATCTTTGGTCTATACTCTGAGCAGCGAAGATAGAGCAATCATGATTTATTTCTAGTAGATGTTGAGGAACAACTTCCCCTGATAGCTCTGTGATACAAAAAGTATTCATATCCTGTCCTCAGCAGTAATGAAATATTTCACATTGTTCCTGGACTGACAATTATGCCATTATCAGAAAAAACCCAATATACCAAAACACAGTACCGCCATTTTTTTTAGCACTTACTCAATGCTAGTAACTTTTTGATATATCTCCTTTAATCCTCTTGACAAGCCTATGAGAAAGATATTGCTATATCCATTGTACTAGAGTGAGGAGCCTGGGGCTTAGAAAGGTAACCTAATTTGCCCACATAAATTGAGTGGCTAGGGTTGGAAAAAAGGTTTATCTGACCCAACACTAACACTGTGGGAGGGACTATGGCCTTGGGGGTGATGATTCCTCAGGATCTGCTATCTGACAACTTTATAAAAGGTTAGGGATGCCAGGGAAAAATGGTACCATTAGGGAATTGGTTAGAGGGAGGAAACGGGTTAGATTAGAAAGGGCGATACTTACTTTGAGAAATGTCCTATGTAGAGAAGACAGACTCTCTCAACTTGTGTGCCTTTTTAAAAATCTGCTACAAAATAATCTATCAGTATCTCAGTTTTTCAATGATTTTTTTCTCCTAAATACCAGGATTGTGCAGCTAGAAATCTAAATGGCTTTTCTCACATTATCTTTAGCTGAACGCAGATGCCTAGGCTTTGTATCAGAATATAATACTCAATGATCATATTAATTGCTTCTTATCTCTGGGTTCTTTTCTAATAAAGTGTTTATCACTTTCAAATCAATAGTAAGATTAATTAATCTTGCAGCTGTTTTATATTCTGATGGTCTGCCACTTGGATCTGAAAGAGAAGGTATATTTATTACAAAAAAGGTTTTCTTGAAATTCTCCCTGAATGAAGGTAGGGGAAAAACAACCAATGTGCCAGATCAAGGGAAAAAATGTTTTTAAATCCTGTTTTCAGGTTCTTTGCACATAATAGAGAATTGAAAAGCAAGGCAAAGGAAAACAAAAACATGAATAAACAAAACCTACAATCCCCTGCTGTAATTTCAATGGCTCAAATGGGTAATTAAATAGTTATTTATCAAGTGCATAGTATGTACCAGACACTGTGTCAGTTCAGGGAAGATGATGGTAAATGAGACAGATGGATAACCACCCATGAAGAACATATATGTTGGTTTCTACCGTATGTACCATGTACTTAGCATATGTTATTTCACTGAATTCTTACAATTTTGTAAGAATGATTATCCCTGCTTATTGATGAAGAAGCAGAGGTTCAGAAGGTTTAAATCCTTTGTCCTGGTTTGCATTTCAATTAAGCTGCCAGAGGCAGGGCTGTTCAACTCTAGAATGCACTCCTGGGCACTACTGGTAAAATTGGTTCCCAGGGCCAGTGGTCTCCTCTTTCAGAACCTAGCCCCGTGCCCTGTCTTCACTCCTCTCCCTTCATTCCACTCATTCTTCTCTCTTGATAAACAGGTTAACAGTGAGGTGTAGGAAACTTATTATTTTACTGCTCCTAACAGCATTATCTTTGGATAGAAGACCTCAAAAGAGGGAGACATTTAGCCCAGTGGCAGCAGTGGGCAGAGTCCCGGGTGTGGTGGTAACACTGGTTAGCAGAGCTCAGATGCTGCTAAGAGCTCTTGCATACGTATTTCCTGAAGCTCATCTCACAGCATCTTTATACGTTAGATAGTCATTTTACCTCCATATTAGAGCGGAGAAAACAAAGGCCTAAAAATTACATAAGTGGTAGAAGTAATATTTGAATCCAGATTTACAGACTCCAGATCAAGTATTATGTGAAAGTCTCTTATAAGTTACAGTGGATTCTGCCAATGTTTGTGCAAATGTTATCAAAAAAGTACCTTTTCCACTGTGCCATTCAGCCACTAAGACAGGCTTACCCTGCGTGGTCTTCTGGGAGTGAGTTGAGTACTGGGAAGGGGGGTATTATGAAGCCCTGTCTTGTTCTAATCAAACTGTAAATAATCAGTGTGATTGTTTCCTCTGAGTAAGTGTGATTCTTTCCATTTTGCAGTATTGCCCAAAACACCACTATTTTGGAGTTCCAAACTTACAGGCACGGGTGTCCTAATTCTCTCTATGGAGAACCTATGGGAGCCATTGCTAATCAATCACAGCACATTTTTCTGCTCATTGCAGACACAGCCTGACAATCCTCAACACAGGCCTCTAGGTAGAGGTATCCATTGGTCATATCGCAGAGGAAACCAAATAGATGGATGAGAGTTGGAAAAGCTGTGTAGTTCCCAAAATGTTCTTGACTCTGACTTTGAGGTTTGGGCTTTACTGTAGGTTTTAACGTCAACCACCTGGACATTGCCCCGCGCTATGCCAGCATTCTCATGGGGATCTCAAATGGAGTGGGAACCCTCTCTGGAATGGTCTGTCCCCTCATTGTCGGTGCAATGACTAAGCACAAGGTAATGTCCTCTTTTGGGGCTGTGGGTTGCAGTATCAGAGGCCTGAGGTACTACACAAACTTGAGATCTCAAAGCCCTGCCCCAGACTGTAAATGTGTGTGTTCTTGACCCTGGCTGAGTCACTTGAACTTCTATTTTTCTTTCTTCTTTTTTATTAAAAAAATTACTGTTTATTGATGGCAATAGGGGTGATTGATGTCTGTTTCCATATTTCCTCAACTAAGAAGTAAAAGGGGAGTGTGGGCCTGGGGGTGGGGGGAGTGAACATCATAACGACTATTTAGAGACACAAAGAAGAAACTCAGGATAAATAATTTACCCAAGATTGTTTTATAATTCTAAGCAATTAAACTTTATAGCCTGTTTCCATCTATTACTTAGCATGTTCCAGTGTAGAGATATTAGTGCTGTTAGACTTCCTTATTATGAAGAAAATGAACAATACATTAATGGCCTTACCTAAGAACTACAAGGGTGTGGCACTCAGTCAATACTGAGCCTTTGTGTATTCAGATGAGGGTGGATTTTAGAGAAGGAGCCCAGATCTATCCAGAGTTCAGCCACAGGCCACATGGTTTCCTAATCTCTGTCACTGAAAAGGGTTTAGGATGCTGCTTTCCACAAATAGCAATTTTTTGATTCTATGGAGTTTTTATCCAACTATTTTCTTAGTTGGATTGCCTATTACTAATATGATTTCAGAAATTTTTCCAGCTTCTTGGAGGAGAAAGTGTAGGTTAACTTTTCTTATTTTTTGATAGAAAAGGAAGGTGGGATTTGGGGGTTTTAGAGGCAGAAGATCTAGGTTTTCCTCTTTGTTCATGAGATTATGGGATGGGTAATGATTAAAATCTCAGATATTAACTTCACCTAACTTTATGTATTTTTTAAAGTTTATTTTGTTTATTTTGAGAGAGAAAAAGAGAGAGCACACACATGGGAGAGGGGCAGAGAGAGATGGAGAGAAGGAGAATCCTAAGCAGGCTCACACAAAGCCTGATGTGGGGCTTGAACTCACAAACTGTGAGATCATGACCTGAGCCAAAAATCAAGAGTTGGATGCTTAACCAACTGAGCCACATAGACACCCCAACTTCACCTGGCTTTAAACACAAATTCCCATTATTTTTTGATTTACTGTATTTACACAGAAAATATGATTATAAATACATTATTGACAGCTAAGAGTCAGCATTTTCAAGGTTCAAATATTGTTATGTATCCAACAAGCAAGCAAGAAGGTGAGCTCTGATATTTAAAATGGTGGGTTTCTAAAGCAAGTTTAATTTAAACTACCATGTGAAGGAAACCCCACTGTATATTGAAATGGTGCCTCATGTATTTTTACATATTGTTTATTTTAAAAAGTATTTTTATAAATTAAAAAATGCACATTCACTGTAGTCTCTAATTTTTATACTCATTGTACTGTTAACTCTCATTAAAAAAAAATTTTTTTTTAGGTAACTCTACACTACACATGGGGCTCAAACTCACAACCCCAAGATCAAAAGTCACTTGCTTGGCCAACTGAGCCAGCCAGGTATTCCCTTAACATTCATTTCTAAACATTCAAATTCTGTTTGGCTCCCGGGCATGCTTCTGACCTATGTCTTTCCTAGATGAACAGCATTGCCTTTGGGGTGGGCAGGAGTTTTTGTCCCAGTGAAAGCCTCTAGAACCTATTGTTAATCTCGATTTTTGGTTAAGGAGTGCCTTGGGTGGCTCAGTCAGTTAAGCACCTCACTTTTGATTTCAGCTCAGGTCATGATTTCACAGTTTGTGAGATAAAGCCCCGCATTGGTTTATGTGCTGACAGAGCGGCAGCCTGCTTGGGATTCTCTCTCTCCCGCCTGCCTCCCCCTACCCCCCGCCCCCCGACTCTCCCCTGATCTCATTCTCTGTAAAATAAACTTTAAAAAAATTATGTTTTTGCTTAAAATACATTAATTGGTACTATATTTCCTTGTTTAGACTCGTGAGGAATGGCAGAATGTGTTCCTCATAGCTGCCCTGGTGCACTACAGTGGCGTGATCTTCTATGGGGTCTTTGCTTCTGGGGAGAAACAGAAATGGGCTGACCCTGAGAATCTCTCTGAGGAGAAGTGTGGAATCATTGATCAAGATGAATTAGCTGAGGAGACAGAACTCAATCACGAGGGTTTTGCAAGTCCCCAAAAGAAGATGTCTTATGGTGCCACCACCCAGAATTGTGAAGTCCAGAAGAAGAAATGGAGAGGACAGAAAGCAGTGTCCCTCGATGAGGAAGAGCTGACGTCCTACCAGAATGAAGAGGGAAACTTCTCAGACACAGCCTAGTGTTGGAAGGGCACTTCCATCTCCTCACTTTAGAACCAGAAAGTATCCATACCTATTGCCTTCCCCATAACCTGGCTTGCCAGAGAGTCAAATATGGGGACCCTGGAGGTAGGAGGGGGAGGAAGGAAAACCTAATCAGCAATAGAGAAGAGAAAAGAAAAATATCTTGCAATGACACTTATGGGTATGGGGCTTGCTCTCAGTTGACAAAATGAGTATATCCAAAACTTTTGGATTGGCAGTTGACTCTTCTCAAGGAAGAGTTCTCAAAGGGACTGGACTTATTCATGAAGGAATGACTAGAAGAATAAAGGAGACAATACCATGCTGTGCAAAGAAAAATAGAAGGAATTGAGCATATTTGGCCCGAAGCAGAGAAAACAAGAGCTGCCACCACATTTTTGAGGGCAGCCATGCAAAAGAGGGTTTCATATTCCTAGTAAAGGCTACTTCTCAGGAGGACCCTGCATCATGCCAGAGGTTTATGTGCATTCTCATTAATTTCCACACTGCTATGACATACATTTCTTATCTTCGTTTTATAACTAAGGAAGCTAAAGCAACATGACATTGAGGGCTAGGGCTGAGATTCATAGGGTCCAAAATAGGTGGCAATTTTGGGAAAGAAGTTTTCACCTCAAGTAGAGGGGTACACATTTTTTAAATAATGAAAACTGAAAGTGGAGTGGGTTGTCTTGTGGATAATTCCCTATTTTGGCACACATGAAGGATGGGAAACATTTGGGTTGATATGGCAGAAAGTATTGTCATTATACGAGGGGCTGGATTCAAAGATCCTGGGTTCAGAGAGAGGTTAGAAGATAAAAAAGAAAAGAAAAGAACACAGAAAGAAAATTAAAAGGAAAGAAGGAAAAGGAACAATAAAAAGGAAAAAAAGCTAAATAAGATGGCTAAATTTCTAGGGATCTGGTGTCCAGAATGGCTAAGAGAAAGTAAACAAGGGCTTGACTGAATTCAACTCTTCATAATATCAAGAATGTAGTTAAATAATGTCCCAAATTACTTATACATCTTTAAGACATTTAGTAATTTAAGAAGTTGGTTCACATGTTTTATTAGGTAAAATTCTCTTGAAAGAGTCTTTTGTTTTAAGAAACCTACGTCTTTAGCCATTTCCGTTGGTCATATTTAGAAATTTGATCAAACTATGCACAACTATAATCGAAATATTCCTAATTGCTGTATTTTGAATGTTATTGAGGAAAACCACTATCTTATGGCAGTAATTATATAGGGAAATGAAATGAAAAGATGAAAGAAAACACCTGTGACAACTAGACTGACAGTGCTGAAAAATTCATCTTTGATCTCATAAGGCAATAACATGGATACTCTCTGGATAAATTTTAAAATTTAATGACATTTTAAAATTTAAAATTGGCATGCAAAGGATTGTTTGAAAATAAAATTATTTTTCTGTTTATTGGTTTTAAAAATTTCATTTCAATTTTCAGAAGAAAAATATAATATTAAAGAAAAAATTATGGATTTACTTGTACCTTATTATTATAACGTGTTTTTTTGGTAATTTTTCCTGTATACATTTCTGGCCCCTTATTGTACCAGCAGAGTTGTAGTGTATTTTTTAAAAAAGAATAATTTTGAGAGTAAAAAGGAATTGCCTGACCAGTAAATAATATCCAATATGTCATTGTATATAATTTATGTTATCATATACTTTTAAATTTATTTCATGAGTGAATGCATGTGAGTCCCTTAGAACAGTTCCTGGCATGTAGAAAGTGCTCAGTAAACATTAGCTATCATCATCATTATAATCTTGCAACCTTTTTGGGAATGCTTCAGTTGAAAAGAAAGCATGCTATACAATTTTCATCGATTAGCCATAGAATTTATTGTGAAACTTGTGCTGTTTTCTAAGTAAAAAAAAAAAGAAGAGAAATTTATGGTAGCCAGAGTTTTATTCTTTCTTGTGTTAATAAAGTCAAACAACTATTTTAAAAACTCATGATAATCCCTAAGGTAATATTATAGATTGCAATACAAAGTTGTGTTTACTCCATCATTTAAAGTCAATGTTACGTGCAGAAATTCCACATTTTGATAAGTCAAAGCATTTAGGATTCCTGTAACTTGCCCTTCTAATATTCAGAAAAAAACCTATAGAGCTCTGGATCATGGTGTTAAAAAGGAAAACACATTATTTTGTTGTGATGGGTTTTGCAAACGTTGCATTGTATACGTAATTACATTTGAACACCAGGCAGGCACAGTTTTCAAGTCATTGTACATTTCGCTGCAAATATCCATCTGTAGATCAGCCCTTAGAGGCAAACCGTAGATTCCCGCAGAAGGGAAGGGAAAACCTGAGAGTGTCAGATTGTTGAAACAAGAAAGGTTTGACTGGCCTTTTTTAAAGAATGCAAGCCTTGGAGACTCCTAAATATGACCCCCAAAAAATTATTCAAGAAATCATGACACATTTGTTATCCCTGCTTGGATGCTAAATTCAACAGGTAAAAACTGGAATCTACTATTTCTCTTTCACACTGCCTCCTCCTGAACCCAACAGACCTGTTCTTCCTTCTGTGTTTCCTAGCTAATCACATCACTCTTTCGCTGGAGCTAGAAATCTTGGAGTCATCCTGGACTTTTACAAAAAAGTAACACACACACTCTCTCTCTTTCTTCCCTGCCAGATCCATTTAATTTTGTTTTCAGTCTGTGGCTCAATGTTTTACATCAGTTTCGGAAAAATTTTTGCTGTTGTCTCTTCCAGTATTGCCTTTGCTCGACCTTTGTGGAGTTTCTAAGAGTCCAGTTAAATGGATGCTGGACGGTGTATGGGACAGTCTCTTCTGTATCTCTTCTACATCTTCTATATTTTCCAGGCTTTTTCCTCTTTATGTGTCATCATTAATATCTTCTTCTGATTTATTTTTAAGTTCTTTATCTCTTCAGCAAGATCTAATCTGGTAAAAACTCAATTTGTTGTATTGTTAGCTTCAGTTATTATATTTTTAGTTTTAGAACTTCTATCGATTCTTTTAAAATTCTGCTGTCTTTTAAAAAATATTTCCAGTTCTCTGATGAAATTTTCAATCCTGTATTTTATTTTTTAGAAAGCAGTAAGATAGTTATTTTAAAGTCTGATCAGTACCAATATCTGGAGACCATGTACTTCTATTTTCTGTTGGTTTTGCTAATTCTTGTTCACATTATCTTATCTTGGTCTGTGCTTGGTTTTCTCTGTATCCAAAACTGTATTTGAAAAGTTGTTTGTAGAAATGATTTTAGGTTTAAAATAATGCATTTTTTCATCCTTTCTCTCCCTCTCCAGAAAGGATTTTTGTTTGCTTCTTCCAAGAGCCCAAAGAATTTCGAGTTGCAAAGTCTAAGATCTTCTGGGCCACCCAGATTATTTGAAGTTGGGCTGCAGGCAGCATGAAGGCTCAGTACTTTTAATTCAACTTTACTCCTAGAGTACAGCACTTCACAGTTCTCACCCATATGACTGTGCTCTACCAGCGTCCAACTTTTGTCTCTATACTCAGCCATCAAACAGCTCAGCTATCAAACACTGGCTTTGTTATAATTAACAAATGCTCCCAGGAGAAAAGTGGCCTCAAATATCAGGCTTACTTCTCTGGATTTTTATCTTCGCCCAGATGGCCAGATGGTAACCAGGTAATTTTTCACTTCCATTATGACACTCCAATGCTATTGAGCAGATATTTTAATAAATAAATAAATAAATTTCATTCAGCTTTTCTAGTGTGAAGGTTCATCTGAATTACATAGCCTACTGTTAATGGATGCTGAAGTCTCTTTTAATTTTATCTTCACAAGTTCTCTTGAACTGATTTTTTTTCCCTAGAGACAGTGTGGTAGTAAGTCTCAAATCTCAGTGGCTTAACAGCAAATGTTATTTCTCTCTTATATTACTAATCGACTGGACTGGAAGCTTGTTTCAGACAGTCACTTAGGTATCTAGGATTTATTTTTTCTCCACTCACCATCTTGTAGATCACCATTTGGAACATATAACCTCTAATATCACCATGCAAAAGGGGCACCACTTGGAAATGACACTGTCATTCCTGCTTCTAGTCCATCGAACTACACTAGCCATATAGTCCCAACATAACTTCAGAGGTGGCTGCAGAATGAAGGGGAGCACGTGGATTACTGAGTGAAGACTAATTACAACTGCTACTCAGCTCTAGCCTAGGTTCAGGGTCTTCTCTCTCTCTCTCTCTCTCTTTTTTTTTTTTTTTTTTACAAATTGTTTATTTCTTTTTGAGAGAGCGCAACACAGGGAAGGGGCAAAGAGGGGGGATAGACAATTTGAAGCAGCCTCTGTGCTGACAGGCTGTCAGCATAGACCCCAAGGTGGGGCTCCAACTCAGTAACTGTGAGATCATGACCTGAGCTGACGTTGGATGTTCAACGGACTGAGTCACCCAGGTGCCCATCTTTTTCTTAATGTTTATTTCTTTTGAGAGAGAGAGAGAGGAGGAAAACGAGAGAGAGAGAGAGAGAGAGAGAGAGGGCCAGAGCACATGCACAGGTGCAATCTGGGGAGAGGAAGAGAGAGAGAGAGAGAGAGGGGCAGAGAGAGGAAGAGAGAGAATCCCAAGCAGGCTCCATGCTGTCAGCACAGAGCCCAACTCAGGGCTCAAACTCATGAACCATGAGATCATAACTTGAGCATAAGTTAAGAGTTGGTCACTTAACCAACTGAGCCACCCAGGAGCCCAGGTTCAGGGTCTTTTGAACTCTCACTTGGCATGTTGAATTAGTCTCCTAACCCCAAATTCCATAAATGGTATGACTCTGCTATGTGGCATTCTGGAAGATCTGAACTAGGTTGTAGGGAGGAAATCTTGAATGAGAGGGAGTTTTGAACCCCCTCCAGGAAGACTACAAAGAGATCAATTCATTAGAGTAGAATAGATTCTGGCCTGATTCAAGCTTGAGTTAATAACCATATGGACCAATTTGAAGGACCAGGGAAACTGAGCTTTTCATTAGATTTCATGTGTTACTATTTCCCAGACCTTATGCTAAGGCCTTTCCATACAAGATCTCATTTAAGTTTCATGGCAACCCCATGAGGAAGGTTGAACTATCTGTTCCCAAGATTTATTGATAAATAAATGGTGTTTCTGGGCAGAACTTAAAAACAAGGCTCTAATGGCCATGTTTTAAT